GAGGCAGTATCACTATGGAAGTAGATTGCCCCATCTTCCTTCCAAGGAGTGGCTGATGGGTTTGAACCTCCAGCCTTCTGGTTAGCAGTCAAGTGCCTTAGGCACTATACTACCAGAGCTCCCATGGTCAAAAATTTGGTGTTGTCAAACATATGGCTATTAAATTAACCGAGAAGTTGGTGATTCAAACTTACCCAAAAGTGCCTGGGAAGAAAGGGCTGATGATCTGCTTCTAAAAGATCACAGCCATGAAAATCCTATGAAGTGCAGTTCCACTCTGCATCACATGAGGTTGCAATCCAACAGAATTGAGTTGACTGCAACCGGTTTAACTTTTGGATTTTTAATATATACTAAGTTTGCTGTTATTAGTCGCTATTGAGTTGATTCCAACACATTGTTTATCTTTTAAATACGCATACTTAGTTAATTGTAAATTATATGCTTTTTCTATTGATATATCTTTTATAGCTATACTGTAAAATACACAAATGTTGCCCTTTTGATGTCATATGGTTGATTGTTCGAATGAATGCATACATCATTGATATTATGGGTCAGCTTATGGCCCTGTCTATCATTTGACTGAAAGTTGAGCCCAATTTGAAGGGTATCTAAGGGCCATCGTCTTGGGGTTGCCACCAGTCTTTTATCAGAGGTAGGCCTAGTCTTTTCTATGATTCAGAATTTTGTTTCACATTTTTCTCCCACTCTATCTGGTGCCTCCTATTGTAATTCCTTTCAGAGCAGTCAACTGTGGTAGCCAGTCACTATCTGGTTGTGGTTTTAGGAACATAGAGGCTGGTGTTCATGTGGTCCATTAGTCCTTTGGACTATTTCTTTGCCTCTTTGATTTTCTTTATTCTTTGCTGTCAATGAGAAGAGACCAATAGTTTCACCTTAGATGAGTACTCACAAGCTTTTAAGACCCCAGTCACTGGTTACTAAATTATTACATAAAAAATTGTTTTTGTGGACTATGTTATACCAATTGACCTTAGTGTCCCCTGAGACTGTGGTCCTGATCTTCCATTCCCAGCAACTCATTCCCTCAAGGTGTTTGGGTATAACTAAGAAGTTTTCATAACTTTGCCCCCTATAGGCACTACAGATATATTTGCAGCACATACAAATACATATGTAGAAATAAGCTCTGCCACACCTATATACATTTGTAGTGTGGTCCCATTTGCCAGCCCACCTCTGTTCATTATCATTTTGATGTAAATTTAATCATTCACATTTTCTGACAACTAACTTATTTTTCCTTCTTTTCTATTGTTACACATTCAAAGCAGATTTTCATATGTGACCATATTCAATTTCTTTGTTCTAGGAATCGGGTTTTCTATGTCAATCTTAGGCCCTGCCATTGGTTATGTTTTGGGAGGACAACTGCTAACTATGTATATTGATGCTGCTAATGGACAAAGGCAAGGAAATATCTACTTTTCTTTGATTTAAACTTATTTTTGTTTTAATAAGCTAACATCATATATTTTACAGTTTTCTAGTATTTCCTGAATATAGCATGAGAGATATTTCAAGAAATAGAACTAAATACACACAATTTTTATACACAGTCCTATTTTGGCTATAAAAACAAAAACAAAAACAAAAACAAAAAACCTCACTGCCATTGAATCGACTCCAACTCATAGCTACCTCCTTTGGGTTTCTGAGGTGGTAAATCTTTACAGAAGTAGATTGCCCAGTCTTCCTTCTGCAGAGTGGCTGCTGGGTTTGAACTGCCAGCCTTCTAGTAAGCAGCCAAATGCCTTAGGCAGTATGTCACCAGAGCTCCTTTGGCTATGTTGTTGTCATTATGTGCTGTCGAGTCAGACCTGACCCATAGTGACCACTCCTTGGGTTTCCAAGGTGGTATCACTACAGAAGTAGATAGCCCAACCTTCCTTCTGAGGAGTGGCTGGTAAATTAATGTCACAGCCAACTTTTAGTGTAATGAATTTATTCATAAACAAGAATGCTTAATAGAATTCTCTGGTGAAATTTTTCATAACACATCAGGACCTCATGTATTGTTCAAAAATGAGAATTTGATTAAAGTTAGTTATGTACTCAGTAGATTTATCTTTTGGAAGATAGCTTGAAGAGTCTCCAGGGTTTATGATTCTTAACAAATTCTATAGTAGTTCTGGTGAGTGTCACAAAGATAGTAATTATTTGGCTAGAACAGCTGCAACTATGAGTAATAATAATAGGTACAATTTATTGATTCCATATAATGTGTCAAACAACAATGCATAACTGTTTGTTATTTTATTTTACATTCATTATCTTACTTAATCCTTTCAGTCATCTTTTGTGGTAGATAATATGCACAGGTGGTAAGTCCCTGGGATGTGAATCAAAGTAGGTCTTTTTGACTTCAAAGTCCTCCTCTTAACCACTGAGGTACCTCCTCCTTTCTCTGAGTAGAGATACTAGTAACCTTTGGTAAGGTCATATTTTCTCATTTTACCACTATGAATGGTAACTTTTCAGTCATTTGCATGATTTTTGCAATGAATAAGAACGTGTGGTTATGGTTTGGTTATTTGTTCACTGAACTGTTAATCCTAGATTAATGTTTTGGAGACTGTGAGGTAAAGGTCCTATTTTACCGTAAGTAAGTTGAACTTTGTCCTTTTCTCCAGAGAAATAACCCTTTGGCATAATTACAATGCTTTGGCCTTAGATCCCAGGCCACACCTGAGGATTTGTGCTAGCAAGTGGGAGCTGGCCACACTAGCAAAGACTCACCTGGGAGACTGATATCAACCAGCCTCAGGAAGCATGATTTAGCCTATCATGGAGGACTGGCCAATAAAAACCCTCAACATGAAGTCTCATAGAGCATCCTGGTTGATAAGAGTATCTACTCTCAGGAGGGTAGCATGTTCCTTGGGACATGGAAGCTCCACACTGGAAAACATCCCAGACCTTGCCCTATGTGTCTTTTCTTCCATATCATTTTTGGCTATAATAAATCTGTAGTTATAAGTATGGTATAATTTCCATGTATACTGTGAGTTGTTCCAGCAAAATATTGAACCAAAAAGGTAGTAAGAGACATCAGGTCAGAAAGTAAGAGTATCATATTGCCTCCCACACTTGCTGCTTGCTGGCATTTTGAAGGGGTAGTAGGAAATCAGCCCAGAATTTGTGGCCATAAGCCAGAAGGTTGGAATGTCATGTGGACTCCCCAAACATGCTGCTGGCATCTGCCTATTTGACACCCTGAAGTCCTTTTAACTTGTGGGGTCTGTCCCAGCTTCAGGTGGCTAGGGTCAGAAAGAGTGCTACATGGGTGCTTGCTCATGAGGAAGCACAGATCAATATCCACATTTTTGGGATTGATTCATGATGATCTTTAGCATGCAGACACTATATGAAAAAATATGCAGAGGAAGACTTTGAAGCACAGAGAGCAAGGTTTTTAAGAACAGACATTTTAATTTCACTGGGGGAATTTGTGAAGTGTTTTTAAAAAGAGCTTATCAATACAAAGGTATTAAGAAATCTTAATGTATTGCTTTAAGAAGAATTTTACATTTAAAAGTATACTATAGTAAAGCAAAATGTATGAACTTTGAACATAGATCAATGATTTATTGATGAGATAGAGCAAAAATGAAATACTTAGCCAAAATTAGATAAAAATGTTAAGGAATCCTATGTATGTTTTTAAATACTCAATGTATATATATTTACTATCAAATAATTTAAGCTTTTATGTTATATTTGCTGTTTTTGAAATACTTTGTAAACCTTTAATTCTTAACAACTTTCATTTATTCCTGCCACCTGTCTCATTCATCACAATAGCTCTGATTGAAATTTTGGATATTATAATAATATTCCACTATATGCACTTGCACTGTAAATATAAAATTATTATAACTGAATTTGAATTAAGAAAGTAGAGTTTACTTTTCTCATTTTTTTCCTATCTCTACAGTATTAATATCACTGAGGATGATCCAAGATGGCTGGGAGCTTGGTGGATAGGATTTCTTTTGACTTGGCTCTTTGCTTGGTGTTTGATAATACCTTTTTCTTGCTTCCCAAAACATTTACCAGGTAAATATGGCTTCAGAAAGTTGTATTCTAATTCTAGTTTAGATGTTACTTTTGCTATAATGAAGAAGATCTCAAGAAAATTCAACTCATTCGTTGTATAGACTCTCAATTTTATGACTATATATGTAAGCTTTTGAATATCAGTATTTTTTTAAATTGTATAGTAGTCTTAATATTCAAGACTTTTATTTCCAATTAATAATCAAAAGAACTTAGTGCATATGCAACTCTTTACTAGGTATTTACTAAATTAGTTTCTTATATTCTTTTTTTCTTTGACATTTAAAGTTTCTTTTTAATAATCATTACTACCAGATAATGAAGGAAAATCTATATAATAAGTAATTTGCATTTTTAAATGATGATTTTTAATGCATTTTATTGAAATATAATTTATGTCCGGTGAAATATACAAAACTAAAGTGACATGGGTCAATGTGTTTTTTTTTTTTTTTTTACAGTATTCCCTCCCCTCCCCTCCCACCCCTGGCGACCAACAAATAAAAGTTTCCCTCCATATATAAATCTTTCCTTGACCCTCCACAACAATGAACTAACACTATATTTGTCCTTCTGAGACTGACTTATTTCACTCAGCATAATGTCCTCCAAGTTCATCCATATTATGCAGTGTTTTGCAGACTCTACATTATTCTTTCGTGCTGCAGAGCATTCCATTATGTGTATGTACCATAGTTTTGTCATCCACTCCTGCATTGATGGGCATGTAGGTTGTTTCCATCCTTTTGCTATTGTAAATAGTGCTGCAATGAACATGAGCTTGTATGTATCTGTTCCTGTCCTGGCTCTCACCTCTCTAGGATCTATACCTTGTAATGGGATTGCTGAGTCAAGCAGTATTTCCAGTTCCAGCTTTCTAAAGAATTGCTGTATTACTTTCCACAGTGGTTGTGTCACTTTCACAGTCCCACCAGCAGTGTATGAGAGTTTCAATCTCTCCACATCCCTGCCAGCATTTGTTATTTTCTGTCTCGTTGAACCTTGCCATCAGTGCTGGGGTGAGACAGTATCTCATTGTTGCTTTGACTTGTATTTCTCTGATGGCCAATGATTGTGATCTTCTCTTCATGTATTAGCTGGCCACCTGAATATCCTCTTTGGTGAAGTAGCTATTCATGTCTTCTGCCCATTTCTCAATTGGATTGTTAATTCCCTTGGTGTTGAGGAATTGGAATTTTCTATAAATCTTAGAGATAAGTCCCTTGGCAGATATGTAATTATCGGCAAATATGAATTTGTTACTGTCCTTTTTCTTGGTGTTTATTTTTTTGTTCCATGTAATTTTTTGAGCTGAGCTCGTTTTGTTTATGATCGTGTTATCACTTCCTTTATTGCTATTGTTTTAATATTTGCAAAATATTTCTGCTGCTCCTCTTTTTTATTTTGATGTGAATGTTTATCATTTTTCTTTGAGGTTACCCTGTGATTTATAGTTTTCTTCCCAAGTGTAGAACAGTCTGTTCTATCTTGTAGTTGTCTTGAGTTCTCTACCATCTAGAAGTTCTGTAATTAACATAGTTTTTCCCCTCTTTTTGGTTTGTAGTTGTCCTCATTTGTTAGCTGGTGTCTCTGGTTCTCTGTTTACAATCTTATAGGCTTATTTACTTTGGATACATCCACAGCTGGGTAGGTTTCTGGGTTATATCATCATGTGTGTTAGTGGTCAGTTGTTGTTGGCTGTTGTCTATCCAAAGGACTCCCTTTAGCATCTCTTGTAAGGTTGGTCTGGTTTTGACAAATTCCCTTAATTTCTGGTTATCTGGAAATGCCCTAATTTCACATCGTATTTGAGGGACAATTTTGCTGGGTACATAATTTTTGGTTGGAAATTTTTCTCTTTCAGGGTTTTATATATACCATCCCACTGTCTTCTTGCCTGCATGGTTTCTGTCGAGAAATCTGAGCTTAGTCTTAATGGTTGCCCCTTGTAGGTAACTTCATTTTTCCCATGCTGCTCTCATGAGTCTTTCTTTGTCTCTGGTTTGGTGAGTTTGATAATGATATGTCTTGGTGATTTTCTTTTGGTGTCTATCCTGTTTGGGGTTTGTTGGACTTCTTGAATGGATATATTCTCATGTTTCATCATATCAGGGAAGTTCTCCAATAAATCTTGGACAATTTTTTCAGTGGTTTCAATTTTCTCTTCATGTTCTGGAATTCCAGTGACATGTAGCTTATTCCTTTTGATGGTATCACACATGAACCTTAGGTTTTCTTCATTTTGTTTTCATCTTTTTTCTGATTGATCCCATTCCAAAGAAATATTCAGGTATACTTCTTCAATCTCATTAATTATGTCTCCCATTGCATCAATTCTACTCCTTGCTCCTTCCATTGTGTTATCTATTTCTGACAATTTCATATTAATCTTCTGGATTTCTATCTGTAGATCTAGAATCATTTCTAATTTTTCATTTATTTTGTCATTTTGTTCTTGTATTTTCTTCTGAAATTCTTCTATGGTTTTCTCTGTGTTGTCCTTGGTCTGTCTCTCAATCCTTTGAAAATACCTAAATATAATTCTTTTGAATTCCTTATCAGGGAGTTTCAATGCTGCATCTTCCTCAAGGAAGTGTTTTGGGACTGTATCCTGGTCCCTTGTTTCTCCTGCTTTATCTTGCTCCTTTGTGCAGACTGTGATGCTCTGTTGTCTCCAAGGCATTGTGATGTTTTTGTGTTTATATTTAATTGGTGATTGTATGTTGGAGTTACTTGCCCACAATGTGCGTTGTCTTTGTTTTGTTTGTATGTTATCTACACAAGCAAGGTACTGTGCTGTGCTCCTCTATTCACTAGTTGACAGCACTTATACACTCATTACTTTTCTTCTTTCCTGTTGTCAGCCTCTTGTATGTCCCTGCCAACCTTGGCAAATAAAGCCTAGTTTTAGGTCACTGGAATCTGAATGAGAATGCTGTCACCTTAAAATCCAAAATGGTTGTGACTTTTAAAGATTCAAAATGGCTGAACCCAGTCACTTTAAATATCCAAAATGGCTTCCGCTTATACATTCAAAATGGCTGCGCCCTCCAGACAGCAGAAAGTCAACAGCTCAGTTTGTCTCCCTCCTTGCTATTTCCCTCCCTAGTCATAGGCCACCAGCGCAGTCATCCCTGCAGCCGTTGGTGACCAGGGCTGATCATTAGGTCAATTCTCAGGTCCCAACACCACTTGTAAATATTCAGGTTGTTTGTCCCATCAGAGTAGCTGACAGTCCACAGCTCCGACCATCTCTGTCCTCACTGTTTTTGTTCAGGTTTTTCCACTAGTTGGTGTCTAATCCATTTCTGTATAGTTCCTTTCAAAGCTCACGGCTCCAGGATTATCTTCTGTATCTTGGTTAACTGGTTTTTCTTTTCTTGGTTGAATAGGGTCTGTATTGCTTGTCTACCTATTCCTCCATCTTATCAGAAGTCCTGTTTCTTTTTTTTAATGCATTTCTTTAAAATATTGAAATATAATTTATGTACAGTGAAATACACAAACTAAAGTGACATGGGTCAATGCAATTTTTTTTTTTTTTTGGCCATGTTACCTTCCCTCCGCTCCCACCCCTGGCAACCAACAAAGAAAGTTTCCCTCCACATATAAACCTTTTCTTGACCCTCCACAAGGATGAACTAGTACTGCATTTGTTGTTCTGTGATTGACTTATTTCACTTAGCATAATGTCCTCCAAGTTCATCCATATTATGCGGTGTTTTGCAGACTCTACATTATCCTTTAGTACTGCATAGCCTTCTAGTATGTGTATGTACCATAGTTTTGTCATCCAGTCTTCCACTGATGGGCACGTAGGTTGTTTCCATCTTTTTGCAATTGTATATAGTGTTGGGATGAACATGAGTGTGCATGTATCTATTCCTATCCTGGCTCTCACCTCTCCAGAATATATACCTAGTAATGGGATTGCTGGTCAAATAGTATCTCTAATTCCAACTTTCTAAGGAATCACCATATTCCTTTCCACAGTCATTGTGTCACTTCACAGTCACACCAGCAGTGTATGAGAGTCCCAATCTCTCCACATCCCCAAAACATTTGTTATTTTCTGTCTCATTGAACCTTGCCCTCAGTGATGGGGTGAGATGGTATATCTCATGTTGTTTTGATTTACAGCTCTCTGATGGCCAATGATTGTGAGCATCTTTTCATGTATTAGCTGGCCACCTGAATATTCTCCTTGGTAAAGTAGCTATTCATGTCTTCTGCCTATTTCTCAATTGGATTGTTAATTCCTTTGGTGTTGAGGCATTAGAATTTTCTATAAATCTTAGAGATAAGTCCCTTGCAAGATATGTAATTATCAGTAAATATGAATTTGTTGCTGTCATTTTTGTCATGTGCTTTTTCATTATGTCAATTTCTTTGTTCCATATGATTATCTATGCTGAGCTTGTTTTGTTTATGAATCATGTTATCCCTTCCTTCATTGCTATTGTTTTAGTATTTGCTGAATATTTCTGCTGGTCCTCTTTTTTATTTTGATGTCAAGGTTTATCATTATTCTTTGAGGTTACCCTGTGATTTATAGTTTTCTTTCCAAGTTCAGAACAGTCTGTTCTATCTTGTAGTTGTCTTGATTTCCCTACCATCTAGAAGTTATGTAACAACACAATTTTTTTTTCCCTCTTTTTGGTTTGTAGTTGTCCTCATTTGTCAGTTGGTGTCTCTGGTTCTCTGTTTACAATCTTGTAGGCTTATTTACTGAATACTTCCATAGCTGGGTTGGTTTCTGGGTTATATCATCATGTGTGTTAATGGTCAGTTGTTGTTGGCTGTTGTTACTTCTCTGGCCATAGGACTTCCTTTAGCATTTCTTGTAAGGTTGGTCTGGTTTTAACAAATTCCCTTAATTTCAGCTTATCTGGAAATGTCCTAATTTCACCATCATATTTGAGGGACAATTTTGCTGGGTA